TTGGGTGTGTGGGTGTGCGGGGGCGGTGGGGGGAAAAAGGTCGTGAAGCAGGAGTGATCGGGAGCGACGGCGATCTGATCGGAGGAGGGCGGCGAGGGTGGCGAGGGCGGCTCGGGAGGGGAGAGGTGGGGGTGGGGGTGGCGGTGGCGGTGGGAGTGAGGACACGCCACTTTACACGGCAGGGCGAGTGTGGGGGACGGGGCCGTGTACTCGTGTGTGATGTCTGGGAGTAGAAGCAAAATGGTGGAGCTGACGGTGGCAAGCAAACTCGGGCGGCGCGGGTCGGTGGTCTCTGGCTCTGGTGCCACACCACCGGCGAGCCCGGGTGGCGGCGCAGGGTCTGGGGGTGCGGGGAGCAGCTCTGGGGCGCTTCGGAGCCGGTCGGCTACCTCGGGATCAGGGCTAGTGACGTCGTTGGCGGCGGTGGGGGCGAGTGGGCGGCTGCGGAGGGATTCGACGCCCGAAGTGCTGCTGAGGATGGGAGTGGGCGCACAGCAGGCGAAGGAGAAGGGCAAGGGCAAGGCAAAGAAGGGCAAGAACAAGGCAAAGAAGGGCAAGGGAAAGGCAAAGAAGGGCAAGGGAAAGGCAAAGAAGGGCAATGGCAAGGGATCGGCCGGGCGGGACAGGCATGGGCTTGGAGTCGGCAGTGTGGTTGACGTGAGGCGGGAGAGTGGCGCTGGGCGGACGATGTCGGCGCCGCTGAGTCCTGCTGTGTCGAACACGGTGGTGACAGCGCGACTGGGAAGGCGGGCGTCGATTGTGGCGGCAGCACCGGCGTCGCCGCGGCCGTGATGGAAGGTTTACGATGAGGGCTCGTCGCCGGCTGGGCCTGCTGCTGCGGCGGCGTCGGCCTGGAGAGCGTCCCAGACGGCGCGAACCTTGGCGGCGAGCTCGTCCTTGGGGGTAGAGGTGTCGATGGAGCGGTGAGCGTGGGCAAGGCGTTCATCGTTGGACATCTGCGAGTCGATGCGGGCGTGCTGTCTCCTCGGTGAAGCCGCGTTCGACGACGCGGGCAACGGCGACGTCGCGGGCGACCGACACGACCCAGACCTCGTCGACCATCGACTGCCAGCCGGCCTCGAGGAGGACAGCAGCCTCGATGATGGTGACCGGCATGCTGCCGGATGCCGGAGCAGGCGGGGCGGCGGCAATGTCGGTGATGCGGCGCTCGAGGTTGCTGGCGATGGCCGGCCACACAATGTCGGTCAGCTGCTTCATGGCGTCTTTGTTGCCAAAGACGGCGGCGCCAAGAGCCTTGCGATCAACGCCACCATCAGGAGTAGCGACGTTAAAAGCGTCACCGACGGCCATCGCCACTGGATGGCCCGGCGTGTACAGCTCGTGGCCGACCTTGTCCGCGTCGATGGTGGCAGCGCCAAGCTTGGCCAGCTCCTCCCGGACGGACGACTTGCCGCAGGCAATGCCACCGCAGAGGCCGACAACAATGGGCCTGTTGGCAGCAACGGCTGCAGCGACTCCGCGCATGGACTGCATGGTGTGACGGATGGGGCGGGGTGGGTGAAGAGGGGTGACGGGGTGGTGGTGGTGGCGTGTGTGTGTGTGTGTGGTGGGGGGGGGGGTGGTTGGGGTGGGGTGGGCGGGGGCAGCCTGCGGTGACAGCGGGTGGGCGGGCGCGGGTGGGTGGGTGGGCACAAGGGTTGAGGGCGGAGAGTGGATGTTACTGGATCTTTGCCTGTGAAAAGTCGAGCTCGGGATGCTGGGCCTTGAACGACTCAAAGGCAGCCATCTTCTGTTCATCTTCGATGCTGGGCATGCCCTGGGCCTTGCGCTTCTGGTTCTCCATCATCTTCTCAACCATGGAGGCGGTCTCGGGATCCAGGTCGGAGAGCTTGGAGTTCTCGGGCTGGACCTTCCTTGTGGCGATGGCCGGCTCACCCTTGACAACGGCGGACCACCAGGCCATCTGGTTGGACTTGGTGAGGGTGATGCAGACAGTCGACGAGTCTTCCAGGGTCCAGACGCAGTCGTCGACGCGGACATCGTCCTCGAGCTCACCGGCAAGAATAGGAGTGGCGTTCTTGAGGCCGACCGAGATGCGGTTCTTAGAGATGGAGACGGCGCAGTCGCGCGAGCGGACCTTAAAGTCGACGCCGAGCGGGACGGTGATGTCGACCTCCTGCAGCGACTGGCCCCAGAAGTAGTTCTTGAGGTTGGCGCCGTTGGCCGGGTTGGGCATAAGCTTGCCTACATCGTCGGCGTTGTCCTCATCCTCCTCGATCACTCCCGAGAGCACCCGTCCACCAGCACCGATCTCTTCCGACGTCGATGTGGTGACAGCCGCCGCCGACGTCGGCGGCGGCGCCGACGCGGGCTCATCGTCATCATCCGAGGCGATCTCCTCGATGCCACGGGCCATCGGCTCGGCGGCAGCAGCACTGGTAGTGGTGGTCGTGGCAGTGGTTGTTGTTGTGGTGGTGGTGGCTGGCGTAGCCTCATCATCCGAATCCGACTCGGGAGCGGCAGCAAAGCGAGCATGAGCAGCCTTGAAGGACTTGAGGACGACCTTGCGAGCATGAGGAGCACCCGCACCGGTGAAGAAGTCAGTCTTCCGCCCGAGGAAGCCAAAGAAAGTAGCCAGCAGTCCGTCAATGCCCTGCTGCTGTTGAGCAATGCCCAGGAGGAGACCGTCGAACCGTTCGTCGTCCATGCTATGTGACCTTGAGTTGAGTGTCTTCGTGAAGGGTGGGATCAGGGGGGGGGGGGGGGAGGGAGGGGGATGTAGGGGGTGTTTACGTGTGGATGTGGGTGATGGGGGTGGGGAGGGGGTGAGATCGGACGGGCGGGGAGAGGGAGAGCATGATCGGAATCGGGGTGGCACAGGGTGGGTTGGGGCGAAGAAGGCAGACGGAACGGCGGCAGCAGGCGGGGCGAGGGGGAGCAGCCAGGGCGAGTAGGCATGGGGGATCGGGGCGAGGTTCAAAGGCAAGACCGTTCTCTCTCTCACACTCTCTGTGTCTGGGGCACGCTCGCGGACAAGGTGGTGGGCAAGGAGCGGGAAGAAGCGTGGTGCAGGTTGGCTCGAGGGCAAGAGAGCGTATGATGGCTGGTACGGGTCGTGGCATCTGTGCTGAGGCGATGTGTCAGACAGGCTGGTCGAACCTTGCGGGGGAACTGCCTGACGACTCGCATCGCCCGCCGCCGAAGGTTGTGCTTGAAGAGCGGGAGGCGAGCGAGTGGCAGGCAATGGCGGAAGAAGTGATGTGCGAGGTGGAGAGCTTGATAAGGGGACTGGGGTCGGTAGATGATCGGGCGATCGAGATGGCGGACGGCATGCGGCTCGAGCACATCGGATCAACGGCTGTGCCGGGTATACCGGCTAAGCCGGTCATCGACGTTCTCTGCGTTGTCCCGTTTGCCTCTCTCGCAGAAGTCGATGAGATCGTGGTCCCGCACTTTCCGCATGCCGGCTGGTTCACATCGCCCGAGTACAACGCCATGCTGGGCGAGCGCAGGTACTTTCGCGCGTGGGACGCAGCCGGCGCGGCACATCGAGCCCACCTGCACGTGGTGCCACATGTCTCGGAGCAGGGAAACCAGTTTTTAGTCTTCCGCGATGCGCTCCGCAGCTCCCCCAGCTTGCAGCCGAGTACGCCGAGCTCAAGATTGCGCTCGCCGAAGCGCACAGCCACGATCGGTCGACTTACACCGCGCGCAAGGCTGTGTTTGTGGGCAACGTGGTGCAGTCTGTGGCTGGAGCAATGTAGCTGCGATGCCGGAGCAAACGGGAACGAGCATGGCGAAGAGTACGACCAGGAGCTAATCAAAAGTATGGGCGTCATCGCTGCCTTGTGTGTGTGTGGTGGGGTGGGGGGGGGTGGGGGTGGGGAGGAGGCGACGGGCGGGCGGGCAGATCGGACGGCCTCGGTCTGG